TTAAGCACTACAATTTTCCTGGTGCAAGGCTGAGATACGTCAGCAAACATGAATGACAGTATTTTGAAATGCTTCAAGGAGATTAATTTAAAAAAAGTGTATTTTATATGACATTAGGATAAATAAACACAGCAAATTACAACATATAGTTTCTCAAAATAACATTATTTAAAACTGGGGAGGAACAGTATTAATGGATGCAGAACTTTAACAGAGCAGACAGACACCAAGAGACACAATGCAAAAATACTCGGAGATGTAATAAAGAGAGAGAAAGTGTAATACCTACAGATGGAACCAAACCTGGGACCCCTGGAGCTTAGTGCATGAGCCTCTACCACTTGAACTAAAAGCCACCTGGCTCTGAAACACAATACTGAATCAAACTTTTGCCTATATCCTCAGAAATCAAGAACACCTGAAAATTAAAATCTTATTGTTAATGAAATATGGATAAACAAAATATCAAAACATCAAAAATAGACAGAAAAAATGACACAGACATGGTTCCTATTATAGTTGAAAGAGCATATAAACTGATCCAAAAAACATAGCTAAAACTATGGACAATAAAGAGAGAATCTTCAAGTCTGCAGACCGAGATATAGGGACAATGAATGGTAAAGTGGCATAGAAAAGGTTCTTTCTGTAAAGAAAGTAGAGTGTAGGATTTTCAAGAGTACTCAGTGTTGTCCTAATTTTGCTGCCACTGATGTAATTAGTAAATATGTATCTTATATAAACCCTTATTCTATGTGTTTTGTATGGGTACAATGAAACCTAATTTAAACTATTATTCAAGGAACTTAAAAACCTGGTTGCTTTCAGAAGCTAGTTATACTGCACTCATTATTGTATCATCTGGGCACCTAATAGATCAAGATTCTTTGGGGTATTCTTTTAAAAAAATGAAATTGCTAATAAGAATTGCCTCTTCTGCAGGTTTCTCTATCTGTGTGCATCAAGAGATAACACATTTTTAAAATACTGTAAGTGATGTTCTATATTACTTGCATGAAGTATTCAGTAGCGCTGTACTGACATAGTATAAAACAAATCTAAGCTTTTTCCACCAGTGTATCTATTTGCTTGTAGCACTTGGTATCATGGCTTTGCAGTACTTAACATATTTGGAAAGCTGTTGGAATTGAAGCTTTTACCTAATTCGTAATTTTTGTTTACATCTATTTATACATTTTAGAAATGTGCATCTGTCTGTTTTCTTGTCTGTCCATGAGTCTGTTTGTTCAAGAACTTCTCCTAAATGGTAAGAGCTAGGATGATCAAATTTGATATGCAGTTTCCTCGTAGCCTAACTTAAAGCAAGGTCAGGGTTTGGTGATGCCAGAAAAACAGGCTGTGCCTGGAATAGGACAGTTTTCCATGAGCTAGAAAAGGAGGGGGCTCTCAGGAGAAGACATGGGGGAGAGAGAAGGGAACTGTGGGCTGAGGTCCTGTCCCCCACCCTGTTAGGACACACTGAGGGGGGGTTGCTGGGAACAATGGCCCAGCCATCAGTGTCGCATGGAGCCCAGGTATAGGTTCCATGTGGCATTGCCACTTTGAAGTACCCTCTCTTCCCTACCTTTGCTGCCTCTATTTAATAGAGGCAGCAAGATGAAGGAATCGACTAGTCGGCTCAACTATCTGATAAGCATTTGTTTATTGAGTAGTCAACTAGTCCTTAACATCCTTACCCCAACCCAAAAAATGGTTGAGGAGGAGAGGCTGGTGGGGGTGGAGTGAGAAAGGCACTCCCCGTGCCCAATGAAGACATGCTGGGTGAATCAGGAATAACAGCCTGGTATCGCTCCACCCATGATGAAGAGAAGCTGTGGAGTGGGCTGGGAACCGCAACACAGCTCCAGTGGGAACTGTGGCCTGACCCTGGCCTTGGCCTTGGTCCTTCTCTCCCATGAGGTGACACTGGGGGAGACCAGGAAATGCAGCCTAAACTCACACCCTCCCCCACGGCGAGGATATTCTGGGGGCAAGGAGATGCTGCTCCTGCCAGGAACTCCTGGCTGGAGATAGGGCTGGGCAGTGCATCCCTGGTCCCACAGATGGAGCCGCTGGCTCCCAAGCACTCCTCTCACAGATTAATATTATTTGACTAGGGAGTTCTTTCAGTTGTAAGAAACATTTAAGAATTGCTCAGGACAGGAACAATGATGGCCTTTACAAACCATATGAGGCATTGGAGAACCTTATAAAGGTGCAAATGTGAAATCATTAATTTTCTGATTGCCTTCTACCTCCACATGGGTCGTCTTGCTCTCTCTTCTCCAAATTGGATATCATCTTCTAATACAGGGATAAGGAACCATTTTTTGGGTTGGGGTAAGGATGTTAAGGACTAGTTGACTACCCAATAAACAAATGCTTATCAGATAGTTGAGCCGACTAGTCGATTCCTTCATCTTGCTGACTCTATTAAATAGAGGCAGCAAAGGTAGGGAAGAGAGGGTACTTCAAAGTGGCAATGCCACATGGAACCTGTATCTGGGCTCCATGCGGCACTGACACTTTGAAACACTGTGGCAACTGATCCTGGGCTCTGTGTGGTGCTGCCCCTTTAAAACACAGCCTTGGACGTCCCACTGGCCCTGGGCTGCGTGTAGCGTGCCAGCTTTGAAATTTACAAGAATCCCCAGTGGAGGCTCTTGTATGTGTCAACGGAGGAATACATAAGTGCTTATCTACTCATTGAGTGGTTGACGGAAATTTTGACTACTCGACTAGTAAATTACTCGTTAGTTAACATCCTTATGTTGGAGGCTGCTGACCCACAGAAAAATCAGTCAAGTGCTGCATACAAGTGAGAAGCAAAAAAGAAAAACCAAACCCTCACTGACGTGGCACTCCCATTGAGGAGAAAAAAGCTTCCAACATCCCTTTGCACACCAGAGCCTAGGGGCCCCAACCTAGTGGATTTTGTGTACTCCAGCCCCATAGTGGGACAACAGGAGAGTTGGAGCACCAACGTGGGCTCCCCAATGCTGGGCAGGAGTGAGCCCCAAGCCTCAGGAGATGTATCCAGGCAAGCCGAGGGATGCTTCTGGCCCCTGGGCCTTGGGTTCCCCACCCCTTCAAAATCCTAAAGCTTTCATAAGGGTGTCTAATGTCTATCATTACTCCCTTTTGGAGCCTGAAATTGTTAACTTTCTGGGAATAATGCAAAACCTATTTTTTTCTGAAGCTTCAGGGGTTAGTCGAGTTAGTCTGTACAGGATAAACTTAAAAAAACAACAAATGGTCTGGTAGCACATTATAAACTAACGAAACATGTAGATGGTATCATGAGCTTTTGTGGGCTTCAGGAAGAAGTGGGCTGTGCCATGAAAGCTCATGATACATTTACATGTTTTGTTAGTCTATAAAGTGCTACCAGACCATTTCTTGATTTTTAAGTTTGTCCTATTTTTTTCTAATAGGGATTTGGGGAAGTGGGTGATCTAGGGATCATAAGGATTTTATTTATTACATTTTATTTACCATACAAACAACCCCAGAAAATAATCAAAGGTCCTTTACTTGTAAAGCCCAGTAGAATATTGTAATGGGGCAGAGTGGCCACCCGCTGACCCCAAGGGGGAGGAGACCCTCCCCGAGCCTTGGTGGGCAGCACCTGGCCCTAGCGACCCACCTGACCAGAAACCAGGAGGCAGAGCTAGGGATATAAAAGGCCTGCCAGAGAGACTAGCGAGGTCCCAGCTACCGAAGGAACCAGAAGCCTCCCCGGTGCACCCAAAGGAGGAGCTAGATCCTCGGGAATCTGACGACTGGCCTGGGTTGTTGGGCCCACAACTGGGTGACTGCCAGGAAGGACTGGTTACTTAGCCAGAGGTTCCAGAGCGACGGAGCCCAGAGGACCTGAACTGGATCCAGGTACAGTGTGAGGGGGAGAGCGTGGGAAGAGGGATAGCCGATCACCATCTGGCTGGGCCAGAGCCAGATCAGCATGTTGTGGTGTGGCTCCTCACTGACCCAACAGCAGACCACTCTGCAGCTACTAGAGCCCTGGGCTGGGATGCAGTGGAATGGGTGGGCCTGTGTCCCCCCTGCTACCCCACCCTTGGGTGGCAGTTTCCCACCTCAGCTGTTCCAGAACTGCAGCGCACATCTACTGAACCCTCACCTGAGCAAGGGGATCCAGCTGGGTACTCCTATCTGAACTGAGTCAGTAAGGACTTGGGCTCTGAACTGTTTGCCTGTCGCCCCACCCTGAACCACGGCTTAGGGCTCTGAACTGTTTATTTGCCTGTTGCCCCACCCTGAGCAAGGGCTTGGAGCAGTCTGAACTGTTTATTTGTTTGCTGCCCCTTCCTGAACCAAGGCTTGGGACTCTGGACTGTTTGTTTGCCTGCTGCCCTGCCCTGAGCTCTGGACTATTTATTTGCCTGCCAATAGCTACCTGAGACTGTGGACTGTCCCAGGCCTGAAAACTACAGCTAATTCCCCCCAAAAACAACTATGCTGGGTAGTTCTGAAAATTAGTTATTAGTTCTGAAATTAATTTTGGTATTATTTTACATATATTTTCATTCTTCTTTTCATGATTGCTTGTGGAAGTTTAACTCTAGAGAGTTAAATCTCTTAAAAGATTACTAAGGAAGAAGGAATAATGAGGAAGTTTCATGAAAAGCAGACTTTCAATTCTCATGTAATACATATTATTAAATGTGGATTCAGGATCTGACTCAAAACCCACTGAGGTTAATGTGAGTCTTTCCACTGACTTAATGGGCTTTGGGTCAAGCAGTCAGTGTCCCATCCCATTTATACCAGTGAACTTACAACAACTCTTCTATTTTTTTTAGAAATGTGAATCCCATCCAAGAACTTGAATGTAGTGGATTAAACTGAAAAGTACAACATACCTGAAAGGTATGTGTACAAAAATCCTGAAGTCAGTAATTAACACAGCATGTTAATCCTTAAAATAATCAAAAAACATTTTGTACTGTAAAGGTTTGTGAGAAAATCAATATATTTCATACTTCTCTTGATGGTGGTCCTCTTGGTCACTCAGCTCATCATCATCTACCAGATGTCCAAAGGGTTCAGAAGAAATTGATACCATGTTAGACAGAATGATTCTGCTATCACTGCTGCCTGAAAGGACTAGCTGGTCATGAGAATGATTGTATCGTACATTCCATACCCTATAGCATGTAAATGATTAAAAGGAGTATTACAAAAGTCTATTCCACAGTATCAGAAAGTAAATACATTGCACTGTTTAAAGAATTTATTTCAATTTAAACATGAACAAATAGTTTAAGAGAAATCTAATCTGTAAAATGGTTTATGTTCTAGGAATTATTCCAGGGAAGTTCTATGGCCTGTGCTATACAGGAGGTCAGATTAGATTTAACAATGGTCCTTTCTGGCCTTAGAATTTATAAATATGGGTAGAATCTGACACCCTCATCCTAGAGACTGGTTTTTGCCATTTTCATTGGACAGTAAATTTCTATGTCATTTGATTTTCTGTGGCTATTTCTTTAAAATTCAACAAAATAAGTTACACGTGGAGAGAGTACAGTAGAGGGACTAAACCCTAATATAAATCCACAAGAGTAAATGCCAAAGAATAGATTTCAATATATCAAAGAGACATTCTAAAAATACTAAATATAATAAAGTATCCTAAAACCAAAATATGGATTCAAATTAAACTGCTGCATTAATCAAAATCTCACAATGTACTCTTACAAAAGACCCTAAATCAAAAGGATTAGATTTTGCTAATGTTTACATTTTACAAATTAAGTTAATACAAATTACTTTATGAATTTCTTTTGTTCTATTTTCTATAAACTTCTAAACAAATAAAAATATTGCCTCTGTTTAATTCACATCTTCAAACTACAATAGTATCAAAGTGGCTGCAAGTGATTCTGCAGCCCAAATTCCAATATAAATTGCTCAGCTTCTCTTGATTACGAAAGTGAATAGTTAATCTTTTAGTATTTTTTAAAGCTATGGATGAGATTTTAATTTTGCTCTCATCACTTCATGTTGTGTAGAAGTGTCAGGGGGAGGAGGCTCAAAGCCCTGGATCTAGCCCAGGGAGAATACTACCCTTGGGCACAAACTGATCTAAGGACTGTTCTCCCACAACCACCTGTATTGGCTCAAGGGGTTTGAGGAGCAATTGCATGGGTGAGGGCTGCAGCATATTGCACTATGGAGACGCTGGACAATACAACTGCCATAAGGCAGCCCAAAGAGGCTGCTGAGATTGACATAGCCCTAGGGCTGCCTAAATTATGTCAGGAGCTGTAAAGCAACCCAGAACTCAAAGGGCAGAGGTGTCTTAAAATCCCTTAGCCCTTTCTCCCTGTGTTATGCCTTTCAGAGACATAGCCTAGAATCTCACCCTTCATAAAGCTGAAAATACCTTACTAGAAATTAGACTAACATTCTCCAACTCTTAATTTACAAATTATTCAAGAAATAGTGACATACTAAAACCATTCCATGATGCAGAAAAATGATGAATCACAATAGCATAAACACAGCTAGTTTGCATTGTTTTTAAACAGCAAAATAATTAGCAGAATAAATTACAAAAACTGTCCACCCACAAAACAGCATGCAGATAATTTATTCTACCAGTGGGAATGCTCCTCTAGTGTCTTCACTGGCTCAGTGACATTTCTAGTATCCCAGAATTTCACCTTGCAGTCATCTCCACAACTAGCCAGGTAGTACTGTTTGTTGGGATTAAAGTCCAGGTCCCGTACCAGTTGTCCATGTGCATTTTCTATGTAATAGATCTGTCTGTAAAACGCACATTAGAAATTAAATAAATTAAAGTACTATGAAAGCTAACTAAATAAAATCTATTTCTCTAGTAACTTTGTTAATCCCTTGGCACTGATAGAGCTAGGCCACATCTATTCTATAATCTTTGAGGAACACAAATTATGTCAGCATATAGCCATTGAGCCTATCCATGTTGGAGAATGTCAGCAGCTTCCCCTATCTCAGAAGCTATCCGTCTAGCAATGCTGATATCGATGATGAAATCCGCTACCTACTCTCCAGTGCCAGTGCAGCTTATGGACATTTATAGAGGAGAGTCTTTGATGACAGTGACATCGAGATGCAGACCAAGATTGATGTTTACAATGCCATACTCATCCCAACGTTATTAAAGATCTGGAGAAATTCTACCAAAGGTACCTGAGGAGAATATTGGGCATCACATAGCAGGACAGATGGACCAAAGTTAGTGTACTTGCAGAGGCTGATTTTTGCAGCTTCGAGGAAATAACCTACAGGAGCTACGATGGTCTGGTCACATGGTCAGGATGCCTGACACACACTTGCCTGAACAGATTTTCTGCACTTGGCTAGAAAACTGGAGAGGTCTCGTAGAGGGCAGAGGAAGCACTACAGGGATGTCCTTAAGGTGTGGCGCTTTTAAGTGCCATGCAGGGCGGGGACAGAGCAGAGGAAATTTCGTATACTCTCTCCTGATTGGCCTGGGGGCGGGGGACTTCTCCTTCCGGCCAGAGGCATGGGCACCTAGGAGGAAGGAGGGGGAGCGGCTGGGCAAAGGCACTCCCCCACCCCCAGACTAATCATGGTCTGGGGGTGGGGAACCTGCCCCTTCTGCTCGAGGTCCCACCCCTTCCGGTACATCCCGGAGCCACTTCAGAAATGTTTTAAGTGGCCCCCGACAAAAAAATCATTGCCCATCCCTGCCTTAAGAACACCTTGATAAAGTGGGGCATTGATGCTGACAACTGGGGTGTGTCTACACTGCACAGTTATTTCGAGATAACTAGAGTTATGTTGAAATAACAATGCGAGGGTCTATACAGCCATTCCATTATTTTGAAAGAATTTCAAAATAACAGATGGCTTATTCTGAAATCTGTAAACCTCAGTCTATGAGGAATAATGCCTATTCTGAAATAGCTATTTCGAAATAAGGCATGTGTGAACACTCCACTGCTGCTATTTCAAAATAGTCCCTCACCAGGGCCATTCTAAGTTATTCCTCCCCAGTACCTCTTGGGGTTCTAAATTGAGATAGCACATCTTCACAATCCTGTCTCGGCTTCCCTGCAGTGTAGATGTGCTATTTCGAAATAAGCTATTTCAGGATAACTATTTTGGAATAGCTTATTTTGAAATAAGTGTGCAGTGTAGATGTACCATGAGAGAGGCAGATGAAGGATAAGGTAACCTGGAGCACCACCATGAAGAACGGTCGTCAGAGGCATGTAGATTAGGCTACCAGACATAGGAAAATGAAACTGCGATTTAAATAATCACCGCTTCATTTAAATTTACATGGCTGCCGTGCTGAGCCGACAAACAGCTGATCAGCTGTTTGTCGGCTCAGCACGGCAGCCATGTAAATTTAAATGAAGCGGTGATTATTTAAATCGCAGTTTCATTTTCCTATGTCTGGTAGCCTAATCTACATGCCTCTGACGACCGTTCTTCATGGTGGTGCTCCAGGTTACCTTATCCTTCATCTGCCTCTCTCATGGTACATCTACACTGCACACTTATTTCAAAATAAGCTATTCCAAAATAGTTATCCTGAAATAGCTTATTTCGAAATAGCACATCTACACTGCAGGGAAGCCGAGACAGGATTGTGAAGATGTGCTATCTCAATTTAGAACCCCAAGAGGTACTGGGGAGGAATAACTTAGAATGGCCCTGGTGAGGGACTATTTTGAAATAGCAGCAGTGGAGTGTTCACACATGCCTTATTTCGAAATAGCTATTTCAGAATAGGCATTATTCCTCATAGACTGCGAGCAACGACTTCATGAAGAAGACCAAAGAGCCCAACGTAAGGAGCGTGCCTGGGCCTGCACCGGCACTGCTAATGTCAGCGCTGACGGCGATAGAGACCTTCCGTGTACCCACTGCCAGAGAGTGTTGTCAGAATTGGCCTAATTTCTTAGCTACATATTCATCAGTTATAAGTGTCCAAGGGGAAATCTTACTTGTTCGAGGGATCCCAGAGATTGAGTCTGTACATTACTCATTGACAAGCATGCTTGACTGTTTGTTTTGGTGTGGTATGTACTCACCAGCAGTGGCTGTTTCATGCAAAGAGCAGTGCACCACTCCATTTTTAAGTATCCCAGTGTGCCACATGCCTTTGCAGAGTGCAATGTCTCTTGGGACATTTTCACAAGGTGTTATGGGATAAAAATAATGTGGCACGGATCTCTGACAGCTAAGGGTCAAATTCCTAGTCTGCAATTTTCTCTGCCCCCTATTGCTAAAAATATCCCATAATTCTTGAACCTTTTTGATGTTTGCCACCTCTTCAGAGTTCTCATTAATGTTGCCATGATCCTCTGGTATGTACAGAGCTGCAAGAAGTACTGCAACAATGGGAGACATGACAACATCTTTGAGGACAGTTTGCTAAGAGACATAGGTTGTTGGCAGTATTTAAGAAACAATTGCAGATAGTAAAGTGCTGCTCCTGGGCCCAAGAAACAAGCACTGGCTGGTGGGATTGTATCATAATGCAAATTTGGGGTGATACGCAGTGGCTACAGAATCTTCAGATATGAAAGACCACATTTCTGAACGTGTATGCAAAGCTCGCCAAGGTCCTCCAGAGCAGGAACACCAGACTGAGAGCAGCTTTGGCAATGGCTGAAGTGAGAGGTGACTACACCATGAAAGCTTGCGATTCCAGACTGCTACCACTCTATGGGAAATCTTTTTGGATCTGGAAAATCCACAATGGGGGATCATGCATGTGTGTAGAGAGATTAAATAGTCTCCACACATGACTGTGACTGTCATCAATATGAAGGACATAGTGGATGGATTTGCAGCAATGGGATCTCTGAACTGTGATGGGGTAATAGATGGCACTCATATTTCTATTTTGGTACCAGCCCACATTGCCATAGAATACAACAGAAAGGGCTATGGTTATGCAATTGGTGGCTCATTGGATACACTTTCTGTGTATTAATGGGGACTGGTCAGGGAAGGAGCATGATGATATCTTTAAAAACTGTTCAGAAGGATGCATGCAGGGACATTCTTTTCACTGGTAGAATACCATTGATGATACTGAAATGCCATATACTTTCTTCACTATTACATTTTCTTTTTTCTTTTCTTTTCTTTTCTTTTCTTTTCTTTTCTTTTCTTTTCTTTTCTTTTCTTTTCTTTTCTCTAAACATAGGTAAGAATTACCCCAATCTTAAAAGACCCTTAACCACAATTGTTTTTTCAACTATTTTCCCATCATCTTCCTTTCCCTTCCTTCCAATTTTCATTTAATTTATTCCCATTGCCTGGATTTCCTCTGCTTTAATTTTCTCTTGGGATCCATACATTTTGGTTTTTATCTTCTCAGCTCAACATACACTGCTCTTACTATAATTACTGATGATCTCCTCCTGTTCCAGTGTGAAGGTCTTTTTTTTAGAACTCATTGTCAGAATATGTTTTAAAGGGCAAGACTATAACAGAGTTAAAAAAGAACTAGGTAAATACATGAAGGATAGCTATTAATAGGTAGCAGGTTTAAAACAAAAACAAATGAAGTATTTCTTCACACAATGCACAGTCAACCTGTGGAACTCCTTGCCAAAGGATGTTGTGAAGGCCAGGATTTGAACAGAATTCAAAAAAGAGCTAGATAAATTCACTGAGGAAAGGTCTATCAATGGCTATTAGCGAAGGTGTTGCTAGCCTCTGTTTGCCAGAAGCTGGGAATGGGTGCCCGGCCACTTGGTGATAACCTGCTCTGTTCATTCCCTCTGCAGCACCTGGCATTGGCCACTGTCAGAAGTCAGGATAATGGTCTAGATGGATCTTTGGCCTGACCCAGTATGGCCATTCTTATGTTATTTTCCTCTTTCATTTGTCTAATACCCTCAATAAAATTTTCTACAAACTCTAGGCTGTTTCTTGACAGTATTCTGCTTCTATTCTAGACCTTCAGTATCTCCCTCCTTCATTTTCCCATTCTTTGCAGATTTATTTCCCTGGTTCTCTTACCTTACTTTTTTATTCTGCAATTATGGCTGAATCAATGTACTTTCCTGGCTTCAACCAGGGTTGCCAACCCTCAGAAATTTCATTTATGGACAAAATGGGAAACATTTACGGGCAGAATTTTTTTTACGGACAGAATTTTTATACCATATTAAGATGACATAAATGTCCAAGAGTGAAAAGTAATCGTTGTCTTTCATACATCAATGTGCTGACGCTAACTCAGCGGGATAATGCAGATGATAACATTACGAGGATCACGTGATTCACGTTACGTCACCTCAACCATTGAGCTAAATAAACAATTAAAACGTCCAATTTCCACTGCTCCATAGTAAAATGGCTGAAGCAGCACAGAAGAAATTTAATTGCTATCGAATAATTGCCGTTTTTTTGAAATTTTATTGCACTTTTACGAAATTTATGGACACCTACATTTTTTATGAACTTTATGGACATGTCCAATTTCAGCTTATTTTTTATGGACTGTCCATAAATTTACTGACGGTTGGCAACCCTGGCTTCAACTTCTACTTCTGCCTACTTACAGGAGCTTTCTATAACTCAGCTAGTTTGGCTGACCCTAGTGTGAAGAAACTGCTTGTTTTTCCCAGTACTAGCCAGTTATGCAGTTCTACTCCCTCCACGCTCAGAAACTACATGGGTCTGAAGAGTCCATCCTGCAGAATTTGGTAGTTTAAAGGACAGATCTCATGTAATAAGCCTGGTGTTCGGCTCACTTCTGTGACTGCTAAACTCCCCAGAGGAAACTTCATACAAATCTTGGGAAACGTCAGAGTTCAGTATGGCTAAACACCAGCAGCTCCACATGCAGTTGGTGTAACATTATCAAAGCCATATAAATCATGGGTAGTTAGGGCAGGATAGTTATATTCCAGGAAATACAGCTACCCTACTATCAGACAAATTAGTCTGACAAATCAGACTAACCGCTTTCTAGAGATACTAGTCTTTTTAGGTCAGAGTTATTCATATTTGGTATTTTTTCATTTAGATTGAAACTATAACAAGGTTCAAAAATAACTAGGTAAATTCATGAAGCATATTAATAGGTATCAGGTTTAAAACAAACAAAAGGAAATACTTCTTCACATAACACAAGCATTTTTACCACACAATTGTCTGAAGCCTACTGATCTTCATACTGGGTTGGGGATTGTGTAATCTAAACTGTGATCTGTTTTATAGTTTGGCTACATCTATATTGGCAAGATTTTGCACAAATACTCTTTAACGCAAGAGTTTTTGCGTTAGAGTATTTGAGTAAGAGAGCGTCTACACTGGCATGTGCCTTTGCGCAAAAGATGTGCTTTTGTGCAAGAGCATCCGTGACAGTGTAGATGCTCTCTTGTGCAAGAAAGCTCCGATGGACATTTTAAACATCGGGCTTTCTTGCGCAAGAAATTGATGTTGCCTAACTACACTGGCCTCTTGCACAAGAACAGTTGCACAAGAGGGCTTATCCCTGAGCAGGAGTGTCAGAGTATTTGCACAAGAAGCACTGATTTTAAACATTAGAACATCAGTGTTCTTGTGCAAGTACTCGTGGCCAGTGTAGACAGGTGGCAAGATTTTGCGCAAAAGCAGTTGCTTTTGCGCAAAAAATGCCAATGTAGACATAGCCTTCATGTTTTATTTAAACAAGTTGTAATTGTGAAATTTGCTTTTGTAAACCATGCTGTAGCATTTTCCTTTTAGTTACTGACTAAACATTTTTGCTGGTGTTTACTAGGATACCTCATTAAATACAATGTTAATAGATTTCTTCATTAGAGCTAGTAAGATAGTGAAACTTCAATGTATTGTGTGCACGGTCTTTAGCACTTAAACTTTCCGTCTTAGAAACATAGTTAGACTTTAAGCTCAAGTGTGAATACCACATGCTAAACCAAAATAATTACAGAAAAAGGAATAGCCCCTCCCCTCCAAAAATATCCTTCTCTTTTTCCCTGTAACATAGCCTCCTATACACTTTTATTAAAACCTGCCTTATTTATAAATATCAAGTTAGATTTGTGCATGCCCTCTTACAGAACAATGGAAAATACAAGATTATAGAAATACAAAAAGAAATAGTTTTTTGCTCACTGTATATATATCTATATTTAGCTTTCCTTTTTGAAAGTAAATAAACCTTTTTGGCACAAATTCACAAGCTTGGGAAATATGGGGACTTATTGCTGTACCCCAGGCTTGCAGAAGCCATAGAACTAAATTTGAAAACATCTACCCTTAAAGGCAACGGAAGTTACTATAAGACATCTATCCCCTCAGTTTAATGATAAATTACTATGTGCTAAAGGGATAAATGGTATCTTTAAAAAGCTTACAGAGGCTTCTGTTGTTATGGGAACAGATGTGCACATCATCATTCCTTTGCCTATCAAAATCACAACCACAGTAAGTGGAGAGTCCCTAACTTGGTATATTTGAAGCATTTTTTTGTTTGTTTTTGTTTTGGCTCACTTTTTTTTTTTAAATCAGAAGGGTAGCCGTGTTAGTCTGTATCTGTAAAAACAACAAGGAGTCCCGGTGCACCTTAAAGACTAACAGATTTATTTGAGCATAAGCTTTCATGGGCAAAAACTCACTTTGTCAGGTGCCTAAATAAAACCCCTTGAGCTCATTTGAAGAAGTAGGTTTTGCCCACGAAAGCTCATGATACAATATATATTTGTTAGTCTCTAAGGTGCCACCGGACTAACATGGCTACCCCCTAAAAGACTTTTTAATAAATTCCATAATTGAGTGGAATTAGTATACTATAATCTTTGATACAATAATAATGGTAAAAATAAAGGGTAATTACCTTTAAAAATTATACTATGGAGATAACAATTAGTGTATTTTGATTTAAACAGATACTGATTTTCAAGTTGAACTACAAAACAACTCTAGTTTAAGTAATACTTGTACTGTGTATTGAACAATGAACTTGGGACTACAGCATAGTACAATAATGCTCAATATACAAGGTAGATTTGAAGTTTAGGAAAAAAACCTCCAAAGAGTAAACCTTTCACTTAAAAGCTCTGAATACATCAACAATGCAATCCAAATTCAATCCATTTACAATTATTTATATAGTCATATCTTTTCTAACTTTTAAAAAATCAGAAGTGATGAAAATTAACAAGAGAACAATTATTTTTGTTACCTCATACTTCGTGTATCCCATCCTCGAATGGCTGTATCATTGGCTGTTGCAACCTGTGTACAATTGTGGTGTGGACTCCATCGTCCGGAAGTAAATTTTAATTGTCCTTTTCCTTCCAATAATGCAGAATTGGAGAGCTGTGTATTAAGAAATGGGATATTTACAAATAAGGCTAAAATTAAAATAAATATAGCCACAGTAGAAAAACTGAAAGCTGACCTATTGCTCTAACTTCAAGAGAGTAAGGCAGAGATATTAGGAGAATAACGGGACAAACTAAAAACACAAATACATATGTATATATGTATGTAAAATCCCAGACTACTGTTTGTTTTCTAGCCTCTGCACTATGAAGTAATTTACATAAGGCTTATCTATCCAGTGTACATTACTTAGCAGGTAATGAATATACAGATAATTTTCTAAGCTAATTTGTTGAAACTTCAGAAAGATAACATGGGAGTATTCAAACACCTGAAGTTGGTTAACAAGCATGAATACATTCATTCATTCAGTTTCAGGGAATTACTCACAAGATATATTAATGTAGGACTATGCTGCATATCCTTAACAAGAGCTCACTGACTTATTTTGATAGCAGGCTCTTGTTAAGGATATGCAACATAGTTGCCCACATCTGCATCATTCACAGATCATTAGAGAAACACCATCTGAAAAGATTGGTCACACAGTTGCCCTGTGCTGTTTGAAACCATTTCAGGAATGACCACAGGTACCTTGGCAGGTCAAAATATAGTGGGCAGATGGTTATGTCAGTGATAAGAGAGTGATGAACGACAGTCATCATTGACCATTCATTATGCCAAGCAGATTCCAGCATCTTGTCTTGTGATGGAATAAGTGACCATAAAGGGCATCTAAACGAGGCATACCAGGGCGGTCGACAAATGCCTTTGATGTCGACCGTGGAGCATCCAGACTACTGCGCTGTGCCGCCAAACACTGATCGGCATAGTGCGGCAGCCATTTTAATTTAAATGAAGCGGCAATTATTTAAATCGCCGCTTCATTTGGGTATGTCTAGTAAACTAATCTACATGGCTCTGTCGCCAGAGCCATGTAGTCTAAACATATCTTTAGAGTCCTGATAACAGTGTGTATAGCTTTATTAAGTTTTATGTTGACTAGTCCAATGTGAGATGAGTGACAAGACAGGAGCACAAGACAGTATTCAGAGGAAAAGGTTGAATGTTCTAAATGCCCAGGTGCGCACAGGCAGTCACAGCCAGTTTTCTGGGCATGTTGTTTTGAGAGGTAGCTTTGGCTTCTATCTTCTTCAAGTTGTTGCGGCATGACTATGACCTATCCAATGTCTCACTGAGGTAAACCAGGTATGAGCAATACTGCAGGTGTTAACCATTTAATAAAGGTCAGTTTAGTAAAAAAAATTAGAACCCTTGTCCATTGGTGTATAACGTCACATTTACTGCCATATGGTTAAAGGTGGATGATACATCACATGGCAAGAGCAAAAAGTTCTGGTTTCAAAGTGTATAAGGAGGATTGGAAGGGAAACATGAAATAGGTTAGGATTTCTGGCTTGCTCATTCCGTACTCTCATTCACCCTCTCAACACTGACAGAAAGGACACAATACATAACTAACCTTGTACAGAAGATGGGAAGACAAGTTCTCTCAGCCTAGGTTAGTTGGAAGAGGCATTCAATTTTGGAGGCTAAGAATAACTGTTTAATTTAAATATCCTTGCTAAAATTAGGGGTTTGTATTTTATATTTTTAAGAAGAAATAAATCAACCTGCTATTAATCAAAGCACAACACTGTACAATTTCCACATGGCTGAGCAAAGAAGTTAAAGATAGAAGAGGTCATTTTGTTCACCTCCTTCCCTTCACTGCTTTATCTAAATGCTTTCTATAGAACACATTTAAATTATTTTAGTTAACTTATGAGTATTCCACATACTATGAGATCTCACTGTAAGGAAATTCTGATGAATGCACAACCTAACTTTTCTATGCCTCAACTTCATGTCATAACCTTCTCCCCTTCCTAGGTTTTTTCACTCCACATAGTAGTATAATTTCTAAATATTTAAGTGGGCAAAGGTTAAAAGAATGCTTATTATGTTCAGTGACCATGTTGAGCTTTCACAGGCATAATCAAGGTTAAACATATGTATCATCAATTTATTTGTAGGACCTTTAACAACTTCAGAGCTAAGTTGTCAATATGGAAGAGATGTGATGATTAAATCTATACTTATCATGCTATAATCACATACACCTTTGTATTTTGCAAACCTTTTACTGCATCTGATAATTCAGATGCAAACCCCTCCTTCTTGGGACTTTTAAAGTTAGCAATCTAGAAACCTTCATAGCCAGATATAATTTTTTAACCTCTGAAATGATTAAGCTGGCTGAGATGTGCATGCATATCTTTAGAAACTTTTGCAAAGTATACGTTTGTTGTGGTTTAACTATGTAAGAAACCTACTTGCATAGTTAAATTTTGCTCATGTTTACCTCTTTTCAGGATACTTATGCCAAATAGTAGCATGAAAAATATTATTTGCTGTCTGAATAGCTACTGAAATCTTTTTGGACTGAAAACTTTCTGTCTACCTTAGCATTTGTGGATTGGTCTATGTAGTAGCTAAACATCTTTCTTGATAAAAGTGTCACTGAGCTCCAGTAGAAAAGATAGAAAAAACTAGGCATGGAAAGATATATCCTTTAAATTCAGGGCTTTAAGGTTGGGACAAGAAACCTTGTACAATTGTAACTGAGTTGTTTCAACTGTCTGGTTGAACAGGATTGTGATGGGGCGTTTGCCCCTCACAGGCCCTTTAAGGGTAAAACCCATCTCTGGGAGACGGCTGAGAGCAAAGCCCATAGCTGAGAAAGATACTGTCAATTAGGACCCAGCTGTGGTTATATAAATAAGGGCTCTTGGAGGCAAAAAGGGCACAGACTCTTGCTCTAGCAGGGGAGCAGGAGGGACCTGGCTGCCAGGGAAGCTGGGGGCTTTCTGAGACAGAGCAGTGCAGGGAAAGGCAGGCAGGCAGAGCTGGGGAGCATTGGCCTGAGCCAAGGCCTGGGTGTAGTGGGTTGCAAGGAGACTACCAGGCTAGAAAAAGGTAGCAGGTCCACATCCCCTTCTATTAGGGAGCTGCATATGTTAAAACTGTACCTACTAACAAAGGTTTGTTGGTTAGAGATACATAATTGGAGACCCCCAATAGAGTAAATCTTTTGTCTGTAAAGGTCTAAAATTTTGGCTTCCCTGTTTTTCAGGGAAGGGACTTGGAAACCTTCCCATAGCAGAGTGTACATTTCCTCATATGAGATTACATAAAGGGTTGTCTGAATCTAGTGCCCTGCTACTGTGATCCAAGAGGTCCTTTCCAGTCCTATATCATATGTTTCTATGACCATCTACTTTTTGCAAAGTACTGAGAATGAAGGTTAGAAAGCTCTATATAAGTGGTAATAGCAATAATCATAACAACAATACTAATGATTCACTGAAGATATAGCAGATTGCAGCTGTATGGCATTTTCAATGAGAAAGTTCAGTATGTCTGGAGTTTTTTTTCTTTTCCATAGAAACATTTCAGTTCTTTAAATTTACAACTCTGGCATATTTAAAACATCTTATTATTTTGAATGATTTGAAAATGAATAATAAATAGAAATTTCAAAATATATCTGATTTAGAGAATAAGAAAATTCCCTTTAAACCTCTCTTTCTTCTTAATGGATTTTTGCAACATTTCATTAATTTCTACAGTGCTTCTGTCTTTGTAGCAGCTAGGCACTTTAATTACAGACAATAAACCACAAAAGAAGAACAAAATAAAAACAGTTAATCAACTGCTAACAAATGAGGCTTGCATCTTGCCCTAAAGGTTGCTAAACTAAAAACTCTGATGGTCCTTCAAGTACAGTGAATACCAGAGTGAGACCCATAATTAAGGAAGCCTTGCCTCCAAACATGAAGTATTCAGTATGTTCAGGTTGCACTCATGTCTCATCTTATCATTACTGTCTTTACAGGTTATAGGGTGAAAGCTGGTATCTCAAGTAATGAAGTCCCTAAAGATCTAAATCGTTAAGATCACCATCTGAGATAAATTAACTCATGGCAGTGAGTCTCACCACTCAGGAAACAGGCAGCTGCATTCTACAATAGTTTTAGCTAGTTGGTGAACTTCAGGATAACCCTATATAGAGGGCATAGCAATAGCCAAACAAGGAAATAGCAAATATATAGGAGACTGTTGTCGGGTTCATAATGCTGGGAAATGAGTAGTCTTCTGGCTAGCTGGAGATGCTGAATGGCACTATGAACTATAATACTATGAGAGAATTCCAATAGGACCCTGATGCTATAATTGAAAATTGTCCAATTTGAGCTACAGGCAGTTTACCTTCACCAAGATTACATTCAGTAGACACTGGGAAAGTAATTAGACTAGAATCTGAGTTCAGTAGAAAAGAATTGTAGACACAAGTATCATCAGTAAAGTGATAACACAAGAGCCTCCTGATAACACCTTCATGTTTTCATGATAGCCCTGGGGAAACAGGAAAGGAAACAAGATGGAAACTTGTAGAACCCCACACTGCAGTGACTTTGCAGAGAACCAGTTGCCAGCAGTTGTTTCCTGTAGTTTTCCAAGAAGGAGTGAGCTGACAGAATTATCATGTATAGATTATTTTCTTGTTCATTCATAGAAGATAAACAAATCATATCAATACAGTTTTTGTCCCATGCCAAGGTGGTCCCACTGACCAGAGTTCAAAGAAAATTGCTGAATCAAAATATGGCGGGCAGTGGCCCACATTAAACATAATCTAACTCCAAAATGTAAAATAGCATGGTAATTAGCAAGAAAAGAATGCAAAGAAGGTACAGTGGAAGCTACACAACATTTTTCCTAGAAGCCTTCACCACCATGACGACTCAATTTTAGGATGCTGCTTGGCTCCAATGCAGAGCTTCTCTCCACTTTTCCTATTTTCATTTCTATTTCCTTTCTGTTTTCTAGATAGAAGGGTCAGAAGGGAAAAAAAATTGAGAAGAATTAAGGTATGTGCTCTATGCCTTCAGATCAAAGAAACTCAAACACTGAGTATGACAAGGATGGGG